AGGGCGTCACTCAGTCCTAAGTTGGTGATTGTAAAGAGCTGGTCACAATGCTGACCACACAACCCTTCATAGGCTAAGCTCAAAGAATTAGATCAACTCTTTTTGTTCCTGCAACCTGGTGTTCTGACAAAATGGCGTAAAAGAATTTGACAAATGGATAAAGTGGAATTAATGAATAAAACTAATCGCATGTATCTTTTATCTACAGAAATATTTTATCTCTATAAAAGCGATCAGATTTTGTACCAACTACTCTTTGTTTATAGTCTATATTCGTTTACTTCCGCTACTCACAATCAATATTTACATAGAATAATAAATGCAAATAATTGTAACTTTTATTCATGAGTTGGGGGGGGGGGGGGGGGGGGAAAGGGGGGGCATCGTGACCCCCGCGTGGCTAACAGGCCAGCTTCTCCCTTTATCTGCCATTGAGTGATAAACTCTACTCCCTCTACCCTAAGGCTGATCTAGTTTTATACTACGGCTACGAGACACTGCTAATCCGCGAGTTTCTACTACAAAAGGTCAGCGAATCTTTAGTGTGTTTCGAAAGGTTTAGAACATAAAATTGTCTAGATCACATGGGATTTAGAGCTAGATCAATTCCTAACTAAAAAGCCAGTGCCTGTGGTATTCAATCTTGCGTAAGCTGCGGGGAATTAGAGTTTAAGAGTTGTGTGCAGAAAAATAAAACGAGAAGAAATGACTGGTACTAGGGTTATAAACTGGTGGCTGGTAAAAATATACGTAGGCAGTCACTGGAAAATATCTTCCGTGATGGAAAATTTGAATTGAACAGGGAATGGAAAATGTGAATTGTACAGGGAATGAAAAATTTGAATTGAACAGGGAGTGGAAAATTTGAATTGAACAGGGAGTGGAAAATTTGAATTGAACAGGGAGTAGAAAATTTGAATTGAACTGAAAATGGAAAATTTGAATTGAACAGGGAATGGAAAATTTGAATTGAACAGGGAGTGGAAAATTTGAATTGAACAGGGAATGGAAAATTTGAATTGAACAGGGAGTGGAAAATGTGAATTGATCAGCGAATGGAAAATTTGAATTGAACAAGGAGTCGAAAATTTGAATTGAACAGGGAGTAGAAAATTTGAATTGAACAGGGAATGGAAAATTAAGCTGAAACAGAGAGAAAACCATCAAAACTAAGAAGAGTATCTTAAAGCCTACCTTTTCTACATTAAAACACGGTTTATCATAACAAATTTTTATAAAATCCAAATGATAGTTGATTGTTCCTTTTAATATTTCATTTGATAAAAAAATAATATTTTTATTTAAGAATTCAAAGTTCATCTTGTTTTTGTAGAAAATAAAATCACATTTATTGATTAGTTTGTTAGAGGCGGTATTTTTGTTATTATTTATTTGTTGTACCAAGCACTTATTAGTTTGTTTTAGATTTGGCTTGACTTCTTTAATTATTCATCCCATGTCAATTTCCCCGACAAATATGGCTGGTATTTTAAACACTCCCACCGCTGCCATTAGAAAAAGCGGAACTTTAAAATATGTCAAGACATTGATTTATGAACTTTTTACGTTGATTTTTACTAAAATGTGGAAAGGCATGCGAACCGAATTTTAGTGTTTCTACACAATTAAGTTTACGTGTCATTTGGTTATGCGTCATTAAGGCCACTGACTTTTAGCCTGCTTTTCTTTTCAGATCAAACTACAAGGCAGAAGTTGTTTGATTTTGGAGTTGTCTCTCTTAGAGAGGAGTGGCTGTCCGCAGCTAACGAGCCTCATCTGCCCGAGGGTTCGAACTCGAGACTTTTCGATTTAGCAACCATGACCCCTATTTTAGAGTGTAAGTTTTAAATATTCGTTTTGTAACAAAGCTACTAGCACCCATTGAATTTGTTTTTCGATTGGCTACAGATATAATTTTGCTGGCTGTTTATTTATACTTAATTTTTTTCAGTTCCAATGAACTAGTAGAGAAAAAAACAACACAATAAGTCCCAAATCTTTATAGATTTATAGATCAATGTAAGTTAGAAAAGGTTACGTCCCAATTCCATCATTTAAAAAAAAACCTTGACGATTCTTTTCCGAGCCCACTCCTTTGGGGAATTCCAGAAAACCCCAAAAAATTTCCAAACCTTTATCTTTCGCCCACCGTCCTCTACTCAAACTAATTGCTGTGATTATTTATCAAAGATTTTTTTCTGTTAAAAATGTGTGTACGTCAAGCCAGTAATGTAAATTTGACAAGATGAAAGGCAAAGTTTCAGCTGAATTGAGCTGTTAGTTTCGAATTTGGCACTTGATTGTCGTAATTTTGTGAGCATTGTCGTAATTCGATAGCGTTGTCGTCAGACTTTTCTTTGAAGACTAGAGTAGGCGAGGTGTTGGCACCTTGGGTACATTTTATACATTAAAGCGATAAAATATGATTGGTTTTTTACTAATTGCATAGATTTCCAGAAATTTCTATGTTTGAATTCTAATTTGATTTAATTGCTGAAAGTGTTAGAAAATATTGTAAATCATCACCAAGTGACACAGTTGTGTTGATGGTAGCTATTAAACGTGAATGTTTAATGGTGATACAAGGTGACATGCACTCGTGTAAAATGGTGATACAAGGTGACAGTTACCCACGTAAAATGGTGATACAAGGTGACAGTTACCCATGTAAAATGGTGATACAAGGTGGCAGTCACCAACGTAATATGGTGATACAATGTGGTAGACATATATGTAAAATAATAAAACATGATTATCCACGTAAAATGGTGATACAAGTTGGCATCTACCCACGTAAAATGGTGACATTGTCCCTGTAAAATTGTGATACAATAAGGCAGGCCCTACGTTGAATTCTGACACTTGAATAATTATCCAGATAAAATGGTGAAATTATTGCCTATGTGAAATGTTATCGATGAGTCGCATTGGCCCATGTAAGAAGTTCGTACAGGATTTTAGTTCACACATACCCTGTGGACCACTGGCTCCCTCCCCCCCCTCCACCCAGTAGGTGACAGGAGGGGTGAAGGGGAACTCACTCTCTCCAACTCTGCCCTTGTGTAGAGATCTCGGCAGTTATCCTAGTCTCGCTGTCTCTACGTGACTTTACGTGAGTGGCGTGGGGTAGCCAACATGTAGTCGAAGCGTGCGCCTTACGCCTAAACTAATATGGCAGGGATTCGAACCCGGACAGTGTTGGCGTAACAGAAAATTAAAGTTAACAAATTCTCGACAGGCAGTAAACTAGACGTGTACAGGTTGGGCAAAATTATTAGGGATCAAAAAGTTTTGACACACTTCTACTGCACAAAACTACCCTTAATTATTTTTTTTTGAAGCTGTATAAATTAAATTTAACATTTCAAAGATTTGTGTAGTAAATTATGCTAATGTAAGAAAAATGTAAATACACTTTACTATATTTTTGTTTACTAGGCTACATTTCCGCTTACTTTTGAAAATCCGATTATAAAAATGACATTTACAGGTCAATGCAAGCTATTATTGTCAGAGGCGTAGCGAGGGGGGTGGGGTACATATGTCCCGGGGCACCGACCCTAAGGGGCACCAAAATGGGTTGGAAAAAAATGAAAAGCACATTTTAGCTGCAGTTTTGCATTATAAATATAAAAAATATATAGGGGGGGGGGGGGGGGCGCCGAATTGAGAGTTTGTCCCCGGGCGCCGGGAAGGGTCGCTACGCCTCTGTTTATTGTCTATTTCTTCAAGAACTCCTTTCCTTTTGGGATCCACAATTTTGTAGGTATAACAGTATATATTTGGGATAAGAATAAAAATTGTATGTTATAAATGGTAAACTTTCTCGCATACTCAATCTCACAAACTCCATTTGTTTTTATTATCGTAAATGATGTTTTGATTTTTCGTTTCAAATATAATTAAGTTACATAAAATATCAATAATCCTGAATAGGTTGAGTTTGCACAAACGTAAGACACTATATAATTAGGATATGTTCAGATAATATATTTAAATTACAATAATAAAATAATTTAAATATACAGTAAACTTTTCATGATTTAAACCCGTTTTGAGCATTTAAAAATTTATTTTTCCAATAAAACATGCATGTTTTTTTTATCTATTCCCAGGTATTCGTTGTTTTTGTAAGCAGTACTAATAAATCTCAAACTTATGTAATAGTGTTTAAAATATACTATTGCAGCTTACATCGTATATGAAAGATACTAAGTAAACAATTATAGATTTGTTTACTTATCTGTACAAATAGACCATGGAGTTCACAGTGAATATATTATTTTTTTTATATTTGAAAGTTACCAATTTTTAACAACAACAACAAAAAAAACAAAAAACAAATAAGAATAAAATCAACAGCTACACCAAATAGTTTTAAAATAAAACCTACCATATGACCAATACTATACAAAGAAGAGATATGCTACTTGTGATAATCTGGAGCCAAACGATACAGAGATGATTTTAAACACTTTAGCAAATATACAGAAATATATACAATTCTTGTGCAACCTAGAAATGTATAGAGTTATACACGGTGGTGCTTTCAGAAAAATTATTTCTCCGTGTGGTGGAGCATTTCAATTTTTCGGGGGGGGGGGGGGGGGGGAAGGGGGGGGGGGGCATGAGAAATCTTAAAGACGACCCCACAATAATCCTTGGTGAAAACATTTTCATTATTAATATGGACAAACAAAGAAAGAAGAACTCATACAGACTGCTTTTAACAACTAAAACAATTATATTCTACAAATCTTTCTTAAACATGAAGCAAATCATAGTTTGTGTTAACTTTACATAAATTGATGGGGGCAAGCCAGTAACTGTCCCTAAGTCTAGCCCTATATATATATATATATATATATATATATATATATATATATATATATATATATATATATATATATATATATATATATATATATATATATATATATAAAGACTATATAGACTATATCATAAATATAATTATATTTTACTAGACGTGTTCTGAAGTTGTAAGCTCCCAGGCTCCGCGAAGGGCCGCAGCTAAACCTCTGGTGTCCCATATCTGTACCATCTGGCGCACCTTGTTGTTTTCTACTTTAAACTGGAACCCGAGGTTGTTCGTCCCATTCGGCGTCGTTTGGGCGGCGGAAGCCCATTGGTCGGTTCACGCATCGTGGAAGTAGGCGAAAACACCCGAGTCTCGATTGATTGATGCGAGTAATAATGGTCTATCATTGGCTTGACTTTATACCAAATCTGTCGGGAAAATAAATGTATGTAATGGTCTATCATTGGCTTGACTTTGTACCATATCTATGGGGAATATAAATGTATGTAATGGTCTATCATTGGCTTGACTTTGTACCATATCTATGGGGAATATAAATGTATGTAATGGTCTATCATTGGCTTGACTTTGTACCATATCTATGGGGTATATAAATGCATGTAATGGTCTATCATTGGCTTGACTTTGTACCATATCTATGGGGTATATAAATGTATGTAATGGTCTATCATTGGCTTGACTTTGTACTATATCTATGGGGTATATAAATGTATGTAAGGGTCTATCATTGGCTTGACTTTGTACCATATCTATGGAGAATATAAATGTATGTAATGGTCTAACATTATTAGGTATTGTGTAGGTTACTGTAAAGTTAAAACAATTACATTAATTACATCTTACTGTCTATCAGCAGACAACTCTCATCACTAATTGCTAATTAATTACCTTCTCCTCTTGAAGCAGCTTAGTCACAGCATCAATGTCAGGGGCCATAAATCTATCTTTCACCCACGGTCTGAAAATGTAATTTATTTAATTGAGATGGTTAAAATCTTAAGTACATTTGTCAAGAATTGTAAATAGAACTTCTCTGTGAATGAAATGTTTAAATAAATAACAGCGATTATAAAGACAATTTATCATTTCGCTTCATCGAAGATAAAAACAAAAATAAACCTTAATGCCTCCCCCACTCCTTATCATCTTTTAAAAATATTTTTTTCACCTTAATAATTTTAGTATAATCATAACACATTTTGCTGTATACTACAAAGGATCGAACAACTGTGTAACTACAAATACCAAGCTACTGTGAGAAGACGGCTGATATTGGAATTTTTTTTTTTGGAAGCTGTATCGGCGACATAACCTTTTTCAATGATACAGGTACTTAACTATTTCTAGACTGATATTTTAAAGCGTGCGTTTCTGTGACACTTGTCGCGCATATCCCTAGCATTAGCCATTGTGTTCCTAGGAGGCCGCCCCTACCCGTTGAGGTGCTACTCTCTAGGCTGCCACCCAGTGTTTATTTTCTTTCAGACTTTTTTCTCCGAGGGGCACTTGATATTTTCGGGGGCGGGGGGGGACAGCATTATTCGGGGAGGGGGCGGACAGCATTATTTGGGGGGGGGGGGGGGGACAACACTGGTAAAAGTATATGTTTTCTATATAAATTCCATTTCGTTAGGGGGGAGGTGCGGTAGACTTTCTTCTGAGAAATGCCTGGAGATGCCGAAGAGAAGCCTGCAGGAAACTCTGCTGCCTCCCCCCCCCCGTCCAACTGGTGAGGTGCGCCTACATCTAGTGCCGCCCCTGCCCGTTTGGACCCAGCTGCTGTAAACTATGATGTCCTCAAATAGAGTGACCTCTGTGGTCAACGTACCTGGCCACCTCCCTGACCAGCTTGTAGACCTCCTCCAATGGTGCCGTCGTCTTCAGAGGTCTCAGGAACTCCATGGCTTGACAGGCGGCCAGTAGCTCAATGCCTAGAACTGGGGAGGGGGGAGAAGGGGTGAGGGGTGGTTAATACAGTAGCTCAATGCCTAGATCTGGAGGGGGGGGAGAAGGGGTGAGGGGTGGTTAATACAGTAGCTCAATGCCTAGAACTGGAGGGGGGTGGGGAGAGGGGTGAGGGGTGGTTAATACAGTAGTGTGAGGGGGAGAGGGGTGAGGGGTGGTTAATACAGTAGTGTGGGGGGGGGGGGTGAGGGGTGGTTAATAAAGTAGTGTGGGGGAGAGGGGTGGTTAATACAGTAGTGTATGGGAGGTGGGGGAAGAGGTGAGGGGGGTATACAGTAGTGTGGGGGTGGGTGAGAGGGGTGAGGGGTGGTTAATACAGTAGTGTGTGGGAGATGGGGGAGAGGGGTGAGGGGGGGGGGTTAATACAGTAGTGTGGGGGAGAATCGAGAGAGTGTGGCTATTTAGTGAATGTATGTGTGTGTGTTTTGTGTGTGTAGTATTGGGAGTAGACATTAGTGAGTGTTTATTTTGTTTGTATGTATTTATGTATCAGTATACGTATATTTCGTATGTGTATATGTGCCTGTGTATGTGTGGTTTGTATATGTATTATAGGGATGAACATAAGGGAGTGATTATTTCTTATGTATGTGTATGTATATAATATGTACATGTACATTTCTTATGTGTGTATGTTCCTGTGTATGTGTGATTTGTGTATATAATATCGAGAAATGGTATCAGCAAGTTGTTCCAGTCTTGTATGTTTATGTATGTAAAATTAATCATAGTCATTAGCTAAATTTTAAGTAAATGGTAAAGAACCAATGGATTGATTTTATACACATTAATGTAACTACTAAAGTAATATAACAAGGAAGGAAAAGGTTAAAATATTGAAACCGGAAACAGAATTATCTCTGACCTTGTTCCACGTGCTCCACAACTCTCAAGGCCTTTCTGGCAGCGAACCCTCCCATAGACACGTGATCCTCCGTGCCAGCACTGGTGGTCAGAGAGTCCACGGAGGCTGGGTGGCACAGGACCTTGTTCTCTGAGACTGTGAAAGAAGAGATGGGGTTCAATGATTGCATTGAGTAGCGGGATATTGGGAAGGGGGGATACTTGTGCGGCGTTTGTTGTGTTGATAATAAGGGCGTTGTGTAGGTTGTTATGGGCTGTGGGTTAGGTTGTCATGATGTTTTGGTAGGTGGTCATGTAATTTTCATAGGTGGGCATGGGATTTGGGAGCTAGGGGTGAAATGTTGGATTGGAGCTTTTTAGATGAAGATTTAACAATTGATGTTGAAAATATTTTTTGTTTAAATTACAGTTTCTGTAGTGCTAAACTATTGTGTCATAGCTTGTGTTGTATTATGTTTGCTCTTACAGAGATTTCATGTAGGAATCTTTTAAATAAACCAAGTGATCAGTCCTGTGAAGATTTGCTAAGTCAAAAAGTTTTATATTGTATGGACACGTAAAATGGGACAAAACTAGTACGAAAGAAATCCAGCAAGGCTTAGTGTGGAGGTAATAAGACAAAGGGGACATGGGAGAAGGCCGGATGACATCAGGGACTGGACAGCATTGTCCGGGGGAGTCTCAAGTGGACTGGACATCTGGCATGGCATTGTGGCATACACAACTTTTCTACAGATAGATCTGTTTGATTCAAATCTGTGCATGACCATTAATGTGCTAGCATATCCTTACCTAAAGCAGCAGTTGTGCTATGTGCTATCATATCCTTACCTAAAGCAGCAGCTATGTGCTATGTAATGTGCAGCTATGTGCTATGTGCTATGTCCTATGTCCTATGTCCTATGTCCTATGTGCTATCATATCCTTACCTAAAGCAGCAGCTATGTGCTATGTGCTATGTGCTATCATATCCTTACCTAAAGCAGCAACTGTGCAATGTGCTATGTGCTATGTGCTATGTGCAATGTGCTATCATATCCTTACCTAAAGCAGCAACTGTGCAATGTGCTATGTGCTATGTGCTATGTGCTATCATATCCTTACCTAAAGCAGCAGCTGTACAATGTGCTATCATGAACCCAGAGTTGAGCCCACCATCATTCGTCAGAAAGGCCGGTAACTCGCTCAGCGCTGAATTAAAGGACAGATAATTAATACAATTTTAATTTATACATTGAAGAGGATGCTGATTACCTTTACAGTTTTACTGTTCACAAACAATTCATATTAAGACGAATAACGTTTATGCTTGAAACTTTTTTTGTTTAAAAAATCGTAATATGACAGTGGCTTTATTAAAGTTCATTTGTGTTATATATAGTTTGTTTTGCAATTTTGTAGCGAAGGGCTAGTCTAGTCATTAGCCGGCTGTTCCAATCATCAAAAATCTTGATTAGAATGCTAATGGTGGTTTGAGAAAGCCTTTAGGCTAGAACGTCCAGTAGAATCGCTAACTTGGTTGGACACAGATTTCAAAACGTGACTAGTTCACGTTAGCGTGATTGGTTCACGTTAGCGTGATTGGTTCACGTTAGCGTGATTGGGACATGTGACATCACATAGAGGGATTTAGGTACAGAGGTATGGGGGAGGGGGAGGGTTGAATCTTTCAACACACACCACACACGCACGTACGACACGCACACAAACACATACGCACACTCACACACACACACATACACACACATACACACACACATTATATATATATATATATATATATATATATATATATATATATATATATATATATATATACACGATAGCGGTATTAAGAACGTGACATGTCAGTTTTATACCATTAGCCATGTCATAACTGTAAGCCTTGAAAGTGACACGATCCCGCCGTACATGAGCGGGTGTCGTTGGGAGGGGGTTCTAGCCCACCCTGACATTCCCCACCCACGCCTCCTGTGGGGTGGATGTGATTATGTCACCCTGGTTGACTACAATGTTGAGTTGGGTTGTGTGGCAACCTGGGTTGACAATGGCAACCTTAACTGGGTTGGCATTGACAACCTTACCTCTGCTGACTACGACAGGCTTACCTGGGTTGACAATAACAAACTTACTTAGGTTGACAATGACAACCCTATTGTGGGTACAATGACAACCTTACCACGACAACCTGACTTACCTGGGTTGACCATGACAACCTGACTTACCTGGGTTGACGAGTCGTTCAATTCGCCTCTCACTCATGCTAGCCAACTCGTGAACTCCAATAGCCAGATAATCCAACGCCTGTGGAGGCCATTACAATATGGTTTCAAACAAAAAAACCAAATGAGAAATATTTTGTCCTCGTTGCAAGAATACAAGAATACAAAGAGAAAAAGGAAAATACTGTAACTATTTTAAAAAATTAATAAAGTAATTTAAAGTATAAAAAAAAATTTATTTCAAAATAAATGGTTTGGCGTGTGTATCATATTTTAAACACTACGGGTATCTTCGTGGTCTGCGAGAATCAAGGGACATAATTTCAGGGGAGATAATAAGAACACAGGGGGTTGAACTCTGAGTAAGAGTATGTAACAAGATTATATTATTTCAGAATATCCAGACGGAAGTTTTTCTGTTTCCCAATATGAAAACGAAACATATCTGTCCGTCCGCACATTGACTTTAAAATATTGTTGCTATTGGGGGGGGGGGGGGGGCGGGGGGAGGGGGGTATTAAAAGCAAGCAACCAAGGAATAGTTCAATCTTTTTTTACCATACTAAAATTATAAAAGAAAAAGTGTTAGACATAAAAGGGAAAATGCAACATTAAATTCGTACAAATGTCAACATCACAAATGTCCACGTGACAAATGTCCACATGACAAATGTCCACATGACTAATGTCCACATTTTAAAGAGTGAGCACATGATGTGATGCAAAAAGGGAGATAATGTTTAAGTGCTACTCGGTGACACTTCTTGACACCTCCCATTGTTAAATAGGGGGAGGGGTCTAATTGTAAGAAAAAAATAGAGTGCTGTTATAATACCCCTACTGAACTAGCTCACCAAACTTGTGTAAACATTAAACAACTACTCACCAGTCCGAACAAATAAGCGCACGTGTAAAGTTGTACTCACCTTTGCCGGGTACTCGCCATGGAAGTTTCCAGCTGACACGATCTCACCTAATTCCGCAAACACCATCTTTATAGGGTTAAGGAATTTTTTGTTTCATTTCTAAAACCTCAAGACATTTTTTGTTTCCTTGCTAAAACCTCAAGACATTTTCGTTTCATTGCTAAAACCTCAACCATCAAAACACAGACTTCCATATCCAACCCTTACAACCAATCAGCATTCAAACATCTACCCTTTCAACCAATCAACACTCAGACATCTACCTTTTTAACCAATCAGCACTCAGACTTCTACCCTTTCAACCAATCAACATTCAGCTTTCTTCCCTTTCAACCAATCAACATTCAGCTTTCTTCCCTTTCAACCAATCAGCACCCAGACATCTACCCTTTCAACCAATCAACATCCAGACATCTACCCTTTCAACCAATCAACATTCAAACTTCTACTCTTTCAACCAATCAACACCCAGACATCTACCCTTTCAACCAATCAACACTCAGACTTCCATTCACTTTCAAAAGATACAGGGTTGTCCGTGGCACTATTGACCTCTGTGGACAGCACACTCCGGACAAACTGTAACGTGTCGTTAACAATCCCGTGCACCTGAAAACAGTTTTTATTACAAACTTACGCACAATTTCCTAAAAAAACAGGACGTTTATTCATCGTCACAATATAATGTTATTAATAGCTATCAAATAACCAGTTTGAATTACTTTACACTTTAAGATAAGTCGCGATTAAAATGCGGTTCTACGCTAAACTAGAACGCATGGATTGATGGGCGTTAGATACTGGATTAGGATTAAAATTAGGATTAAGACTGGACTGATGCCTGAACTACGTCCCATAACCTGCGTGAGTCATTTCGTCGTCTGCTGTGGAGCAGGGAGTAATCAAGTATGTGTATTGCACTATATTAATTAATTCATTAAAACTAAAAATAGCAACACTTAATGAAGAAAACTTTCTTATGTACTTTAAGAATTTTTTTTCCATACATATTTTAAAAGAGTTTTATTTCATTTATTTATAGTCTAATATGTACTTTTAAAGGAAAGAACATAATAATATGATAACCAGTCTTCCTGGAAAACCTATGTTATTCTGTTATACAGTCATCTCTAAATTTTAATCTTTCCATTTGTCCTTTATCACGCCATAGTTGGACGGGGAGAGAATTCAGACAGTCGGGAAAATGGGAAGCTGTCAAGTAACTCACGCTAAGTTACGGTACTTTGGGCACCTTGGATATAAATAAATTACGGGAAATCCCTTTGATTCCAAGGGGATTTTCAAAAAACGTTTTTTTTACCACTAAACACCACCCTCGTTTAGTGTGAGTGTATATACATTATACATATATAAATATATATATATATATATATATATATATATATATATATATATATATATATATATATATATATATATATATATGTGTGTGAGCGTGAGTGTGAGTGTGTGTGAGCGTGTGTGTGTAAGTGTGTGTGTGAGCTTGTGTGTGTGTGTGAGTGTGTGTGTGTGTGAGCGTGTTTGTGTGTGTGTGTGTGTGTGTGTTTTTTTTTTACAATTTTCTGTTTCGGTTTCGCTACAGTCTCCACATACCATCCTATCCCCTTTCATTAAGTGATTACGTCACAAGTATGAAATACATTTTGGACCTGGGAGGTGCGGATTAGTGTTAAAGGTAGCGCTGGGGTGGGGTGGGGGAGGGGGGTGAAAAAATCTTACACATTATATCGTGTATAGAAATGTGTAATTTTAACAAAAATGGTTATACAATCAATACTGGAATCGACCTAAAACGGTTATACAATTAATACTGAAATCGATGTCTAAAAAAGCTATACAATCGGTACTAGAATCAACTGCTTAAAAAAGCAAGCGAATGCATTATATATATTCAAGTTTTTATCCATAGCCATGAAATAACATCACACAGCAAATGTTTAAATATAATTTTGTCACTTTTTATGTGAGAGAAAACAACCAAAAAGTGTTCTGTTCTCTTTACAAACAAATTATGTGATCTGGATTATGTGCTTTAAAAAGTAGTCCTTGTCTTAAAAAAATTGTTGAGGAACCTATGTTACATATTGCAGCATACAACAAAATTTAATTTAAATAGAAAACATATACTTTTACCAGTGTCCGCCCCCTCCCCCCGGAAAATGTTGTCCGCCCCCCCCCCCCCCCCCGAAAATATCAAGTGCCTCCCCCGGTGAAAAATGTCTGGAAGAAACACTGCGTCCAACACTACAAATAAGGTCGAAGAAGAAGAAGGTGTCTGTTTCAATGTATCGCAGTTAGCATTCTCACAGTGATAAAAACACCTTGGTTGTTCCAACATTTTTTTAGTGGGTTAAAACATGTTACATTATCAAAATTGCATTGCTTTACATTGATGTTTAAAAATGTATGTTAGTTATTTCCCTTGTTAAAATTAAGAGCTACTAAGGGGAAAAAACTTACAATTATGTTTTAAAAAATGTATATTTCCAAGTAATTTAGTAGTAATAAAATTAAAATAACAATCAATTTTATTTTTCAATAGCCAGAAAAAACTTTAATGAGTTGCTATTATTGCTTCCCATTTGTAAAACATTTTATATTTTAAAATTATTGATTTGTTCTATTTTAAACAGAAAACCATTAGCTAAAATAATAGATGGTAAATTAGAGAAATTCTGATTTGCATTAAATTACATGTCGCTATTTCTGCTTCAATAATTTTCTCAGTTTCCAATTCTGAGGCAAAAAAAAAACAAATTCTTGTGCGGGTTAAAGCTAAAAGTACAAGATTTGTATCCTTTATTTTTAATTGACTTTTGGGTGGCTGGGTTTTCTAGGGGTCATCTGGATAAAATCCCTAATTCCTCCTGACCCCCCCCCCCCCCGCCCCCCCCCCCCCACCAAAAATCGGCGCCCAGGTTAAAACTTGATGACATCGTTTCTAAAGTTGGTCTTGTCGGAATGTTGAGCATTATCAGGGAGAAGCCTAGTCTGCCAAAGTTGCGGGTCGACTCAACACGGGACCAATCATTGTAAAGCAACCAACAGAGACACACTACAACGAGACGAAACAGTAACAGCTGCGATGGGTGATGTAGCCACGCCGACAATCAACAACAACATCGAAACGGACAATAAAACAGACAGAGAAACAGACAGAAAAACAGACAGCAAAACAGACAGCAAAACAGACAGCAAAACAGACAGCAAAACAGACAGCAAAACAGACAGCAAAACAGACAGCAAAACAGACAGCAAAACAGACAGCAAAACAGACAGCAAAACAGACAGCAAAACAGACAGCGAGACTACGAATACAGCAAACACCACAATCCCACTACAAAAAAAAAAAGTTGCCAGGAAAACCACGCCCCAACCAACCGTAACAAACAAGACCCAGCAATAGACACTGACTCAAACGAAACAACGAGAGAAAAAAAGACGATAGCCCATCAACAACCGAAAGAGCCACAAACTCAGCAAAAATTGACAACACAAAAAAAAACCGGATAACTCCCAGAAAAAACAAGACAGCAACTAAGATAACTCAAATTCATCACAAGCAAGCGACAACAATGTAATCACAGACCCCCCAAGTGAAGACGGGCAACAACCGGATTTAACCCTCCCCCCCCCCCCCCCCCATCTAAGAAAACAACACATCAGGAACAACACAATCCGAGACAGAAGAGGACAAAAACCTACTACAACCTCAACACGATGCGGGTATTAAGGCAAACTTCTGCAGATATTTCGCAGAAAGCACGTCTTTATTATTGGAGCAAATCAAGCATGAAGACAACACACACACAACTTTCCCACACTGCTAAATATGCAGGAAAAAATAAACCGGGAGTTATCTCCCCTAAACTTTCTCGATTATTCTTATATAACTTGGAATATAGGCATGCTTTTTAATTACTTAAACTTTTAAAAATACAATAGAATCTCATAGAAAAAAAGAATTATTAGTACTTTATAAATTTACATGCGTTTTTTGAGAAATCGGAAATAGCGTAAATTAGTACTTCCGGTCAACGGAAATTACTCAAAATTTGATAGAAGGTAGAGAATTAGATCTTTTACTTATATGTGAAATTTCATTTATCTATATGAAATAGTACTCAAGTTAAAGGCTTTTGAAAAATTCAGAGTAGAAAAAGTACCACTTCCGATTATTGGAAATCGCTCAAAAGTTGATACGAATCTACGATTTTGATAAAATACTTATATATGAAATTTCATCAACCTAGCTGTAACGGTACTCAAGTTATCGTGTTTACACACACACACACACACACACACACACACACACACACACACACACAGAGACATACGGACAAGATTGCAAAACTATGTTTTCCCGACTCAGGGAGGTGTAAAACGTCGAGATTTGCAAAAAATCTCGATTTTTTTTTTGCACGATTACAAAACTTTCTCTATACTTCGTATATACAAGAAAGTAAAAATCAAACACAAGTTTTGTTGTTCCGATTTAGGTTGTGTCCCTCTACATTGAATAACTCTTAGACGTTTTGTATTAAGCACATAGGAAAATATAAATAAGTAAGAAAATCTTATGTTAATTATGAAATGGATACACAATTAAGCAAAGAAATGTCGTACTAATTTATGAAATGACAATGTGTTATAATGTGTATATTTTCATTGAATGTTTGTTTTTTTAAGTGTTTTATTTAAGTGTACAAATTCGTGTATGGATAAAAATTTAAAGTACAAGTTTCACATACTTTTCTCTATAATCTTTTTTGGAGGGGGTTATATGGACAATATATCCTAATTTTTTTTTCTGGCGCTCTTAAGATTCGGCGCCCAGGGTTGCCGGCGTCCCGCTTCCGTAGTAACTCTTCGCTCACGCCGATGCAGAACATTAGGGAAAAAAAGACTAAACAAAGCAAATCAGCATTAGCTGAGCTACCAGTAACTAAGGGAGATAATTTTTTAAAAATTGCATTTTTTTATTTATCATTTTCCCCTCTGTAAAAAAGTTTCATTTTTCGACTAAATATTCAGATACATATTTTTTTTTAATACTAATAACTTTTGTTATAAAATATATAAAATCTATAATAAATGTTTTTATATAGAACAATTATTTAAAATAATCAATATAAAAACACCTTAAGATAAGTTACACTGTTATAATTATTAAAGAAAGAAGATTACTATTGACCTATTATTACATTTTGCAAGATTTTTCATGTAAATTTAATTTTGGATCCCTATGAATGAAGTGACAATTGAAATTGGAATAAATCAAAAAGTGGTCTAAATAAACCAACACTTCGATTACAGTTATCGGAAAAAATTTGACAACGTTTGCTACTATCACGGTAAAATGCATTTTCTAAATTCTGTAAGTAAACAAACAAATCAGTCTCCACTATGGAACTTAAACACCTTCAATATTCTGTAAGGGGGGCGTTTTAACCCCCCCCCCCCCCCACCCATTACGCCCATTTGCCTTCCTGACAAGTTCACCGTCGCTATGTTAATGGTTGAGGTCAAGACCGAATAATGGCGTGAGTCAAATGTTCAGCAGAAAAAAAATTAGAATAAAATAAAATAAAATAATAACAATTTTGTGGCGGTTAGGCAAAAGAGCGTACGAGAACGGAAGAGAAAAAAAAATCCTGACCTGTGGACAGCAGCGAAGCGTGTAGGCGTCTTGGACACGGTTACAGAATCTGTGGCTCTCTGGTGGGAAAAAAGAATATATATATATATATATATATATATATATATATATATATATATATATATATATATATATATATATATACAGATATATAAGAACAGCAAGTGTAAAGACTAATGAGCTGATTGTAGGTTACATCAAACGTGCATCACACATAAGTCAATACTTTTGATATATTTTTTGATTCAGCTAGAGCAAAAGTTCTAGCCCATGTTCTGAGACCATCATTTACTCTCTGACCATTCTCCTTTTTCTGAGACCAGCCAGGGATCTGAGACCAAATACAGGCTCTGGGACCATCGCTTTGTCAGAGACAATCACTTTTTCTTTGACCTTGTTTAGAACCATGGTTCTGAGATCGAACCCTAGTTCTGAGACTGAATCCTGGCTCAGAGTCCGAACCCTGGTTCTGAGACTGAACCCTGGCTTAGCGAGATAACCCTAGCACTAAAACCGAACCCCGGTTCCGAGGCTGAACCATGGGTTTAAGACCGATCCCTGGTTCTGAGAGTAAGCCTTGGCTCAGAGATTGAACCCTGGCTCTGAGATTGAACCCTAGTTCTGAGATTGAACCCCGGGTCTAAGACTGAACCCTGGGTCTAAGACCGAACCCTGGGTCTAAGACCGATCCCTGGGTCTGAGACCGAACCCCGCCCTCACTGACCTGAGACCTCACTGGGGTACGTCTCCGAGTGAAGCAGCGCCCTCAGTCGATTGGCAACAAGTATCTGGCCTTTATGTGGGCGGACGTCGTGGACCTCTGGAAAACACAGGAGAACAAATCGTGGATAACAGGGCTATAAACGTTAATCTACCTTGGGATCAGAACGAGAGATCTAAATTTGTCGTGGTATTAGAACAAAAAAAAACGTTAATCTGCCTATGGGATTAGAACAAGAAACGTTAATCTGCCGTCGGATTAGAACAAGAAACGTTAATCTGCCGTGGGATTAGAACAAGAAACGTTAATCTGCCGTGGGATTAGAACAAGAAACGTTAATCTGCCGTGGGATTAGAACAAGAAACGTTAATCTGCCGTCGGATTAGAACAAGAAACGTTAATCTGCCGTGGGATTAGAACAAGAAACGTTAATCTGCCGTCGGATTAGAACAAGAAACGTTAATCTGCCGTGGGATTAGAACAAGAAACGTTAATCTCCCGTGGGATTAGAACAAGAAACGTTAATCTGCCGTGGGATTAGAACAAGAATCGTTAATCTACAGTGGGATTAGAACAAGAAACGTCAATCTGACGTGGGATTAGAACAAGAAACGATAATCTGTCGTGGGATTAGAACAAGAAACGTTAATCTGCCGTGGGATTAGAACAAGAAATGTTAATCTACCGTGGGATTCGAAAAATAAACGTTAATCTACCTGAAGTTTTGACTATACTTCAGAAACAACGTCAAAGTTTGTCAATAGCTTCATTAAAATTAAAATTCTGTACTATTGTATGCTTAACATGTCAACTACGTATATTGTGTATCATTTATGTTGACATTATTTTAACAAAGGTCAATGGCTGTGATATACGTCATACAGTGACATCATGATGTGGTCTGGTCACGTGTCAGATCTACCACTGTCACACATCACAGTGTCACTAGTACAGCACGGTGTCACGTAGGTGTCAAGTAATCACATGAAGTGTCACACAGCGTCACATAATGTCACACGATGTCACAGATGATACAATTTGAGACAGATGAGTGCTGTCTAACTGAAAGTGCTTTCATGTATTGTCACAAGGCTTACACTTGTCATATCATGTCACATACTATTGTTTGCTGTCACAAAACGACACAGAGACGTACACGTGTCACATCACATTACAAAATCTCACTTGCTGTTACATAACGTCACACGAATCTACCAATGTTACAAAATGTTACTTGATATAAGATAATGTCACAAAGACCTATAAGTGTCACAAAATGTCACTTAGTGTCACACAATGTCACAAAGACCTACACATGTCTCCAAAGATCACTTGGTGTCAAAGAATGCCACAAATACCTACATATGTCACAAAATGTCACTTAGTGTCATACAATGTCACAAAAACCTACAAATGTCACCAATGGCCACTTGGTGTCACACAATGTCACAAAGACCTACAAATGTCACCAATGGCCACTTGGTGTCACACAATGTCACAAAGACCTACAAGTGTCACAAAATGTCACTTGCTGTCATACAATGTCACAAAGACCTACTGCTATCAAACGCCCGTGTGGTTCCCTTCAACACCTCCAATGTAAAGGCTGCCACAACGTCGGCTTGTCTTGTAATGGCCTCCGCCCTTTCCAGCGCTGTACAAAAAAAAACAACAGAAAATAATTTTTATTCTATTGGATTTTATGTTATGTAACATAAAATTATTATTTAACACAATTATAAACATGTATATTTTTATTGAGTTTGGGTCCAGATTTATAAAATTTATAGCCGTTGCAAAGGAATTCGCCATCAATTTTTAATAAACGATAACTCATGTTTTACCCTCGCATCCAAGGGAAGTGATGAGTTGTGTCCCGTTGATCAGCGCTAGTCCCTGAAAAAAAATTATTTTTGCCAATCAAATCTTGTAGTTCAATATTTAAGTCAAGTCATTACTGAGTCAACAACTGAGATATTGTACTAGGATTTTCTTAAAAGTACACTCAACGCTTTTCATAATAACTTTTGTAAATCAGGTAGAATACATGGAAATAGGTGTCACTACACCTGTCATATTATCTGCCATATCACTTGTCATTTAACAGATTATTTCACTTGTCATATTGCCCGTCATATCAAACATAATCTGATATGTCATCTTACCAGTCAACTCATATGTCATAATATCTATTTTATGTCTTATACTTCCTATTATTTTAATGTTATTATTCCACTTGCAGGTTTTATTGTTAACTATTGTAAACTTAAACAGTCAGGTGAGAAACAGGTGAGAAACAGCCAGGTGAGAAACAGACAGGTGAGAAACAGACAGGTGAGAAACAGACAGGTGAGAAACAGACAGGTGAGAAACAGGTGAGAAACAGCCAGGTGAGAAACAGACAGGTGAGAAACAGCCAGGTGAGAAACAGACAGGTGAGAAACAGCCAGGTGAGAAACAGTCAGTTGAGAAACAGTCAGGTGAGAAACAGGTGAGAAACAGGTGAGAAACAGCCAGGTGAGAAACAGCCAGGTAAGAAACAAACAGGCGAGAAACAGCCAGGTAAGAAACAGACAGGTGAGAAACAGCCAGGTAAGAAACAGACAGGTGAGAAACAGACAGGTGAGAAACAGCCAGGTGAGAAACAGCCAGGTGAGAAACATGTGAGAAACAGACAGGTAAGAAACAGACAGGTGAGAAACAGGTAAGAAACAGACAGGTAAGAAACAGACAGGTGAGAAACAGGTGAGAAACAGCCAGGTGAGAAACAGACAGGTGAGAAACAGACAGGTGAGAAACAGACAGGTGAGAAACAGCCAGGTGAGAAACAGCCATGTGAGAAACAGTAAGGTGATAAACAACAGGTGAGAAACAGTCAGGTGAGAAACAGGTGAGAAACAGACAGGTGAGAAACAAACAGGTGAGAAACAGGCGAGAAACAGACAGGTGAGAAACAGACAGGTGAGAAACAAACAGGAGAGAAACAGACAGGGGAGAAACAGGTGAGAAACAGACAGGTGAGAAACAAACAGGTGAGAAACAGACAGGTGAGAAACAGGCGAGAAACAGACAGGTGAGAAACAGGCGAGAAACAAACAGGTGAGAAACAGTCAGGTGAGAAACAGGTGAGAAACAGTCAGGTGAGAAACAGGTGAGAAACAGACAGGTGAGAAACAGACAGGTGAGAAACAGGTCAGAAACAGACAGGTGAGAAACAGCCAGGTGAGAAACAGTCAGGTGAGAAACAGCCAGGTGAAAAACAGACAGGTACCTCTTTAGGCTTGAGCTTGATTGGTGACAGATTGTGGGACTCCAGCACCTGGTGGGTTGGACCAAGTAAACACAATTCAAAGAGTCGGGTGTGGACTTATACATGTATTTTAATAATAATATTAGAGGTTGTTGTCAGATTTAACCTTCTCTCTCTCTCTCTCTCTCACACACACACACGCACACACACACACGCACACGCACACGCACATACACACACGCACATACACACACGCACACACACACGCACACACACACACACATGCACACACACACACGCGCACACACACACTTGCACACACACACACATGTACACACACACGCACAGACACACACACGCACACACACACACAAAGAGGAAAGTGGAATCTCTCACATAATAACTGACGGTAGCTGTCAGACAAGACAGCAGGCAACTGACGGCAATGGTCAGACAAGAGTCGGCAAATGTAGGCAACTTACAAATTTGGCCTCGGCCCATCCACTTTTAGGGCTCCACATCTTGCCCTCCCCCATCATGCCCAGCGCCATGTGGGCTAGGGGCGCCAGATCACCACTGGCGCCCACCGTTCCTTTCTCTGGGATCCACGGCAGGCAGGAAGCTGACCATCATGACGTCAGAATAACAGATTAACGAACAAATTATATATGTGATTTATTCATAACCTTAATAAAAACACGAAACAGAAGTTTCTATTTAGGGCCTTCTTAATATAAATAACAACACAAAACAGACGTTTCTATTTAAGGCCTTCTTTAAACAAATAACATAAAATAGATGTTTCTATTTAAGGCCTTCTTAAAACAGATAACAACATAAAATAGATGTTTCTATTTAAGGCCTTCTCAAAATATATAACAACAAAAAACAGATGTTTCTATTTAAGGCCTTCTCAAAATATATAACAACAAAAAACAGATGTTTCTATTTAAGGCCTTCTCAAAATAAATAACAACATAAAACATGTTTCTATTTAAAGCCTTCTTAAAATAAATAACATAAAATATATTTTTTTCTATTTAAGGCCTTCTCAAAATAAATAACAGCATAAAACAGATGTTTCTATTTAAGGCCTTCTTAAAATAAATAAAAACACAAAAGAGATGGTTTCATTTAAGGCCTTCTTAAAATAAATAACAACATAAAACAGATGGTTCTACGTGTCATTATTTATAATTAACACCACAAAGATATAAGTGAGCCATCAGTGTGTTTTATAACCAACCCTGTTGATGTGTTATAATATAATTACAATCGGCCCACTGCTTCATTAATTTGTAAAAATGTTACGTTTCTAATTATAGATGGCACTAAATGTATAAATAATAAGACTAGTTTTAGTTGAAAAGAGTTAATGTTAAAAAATGACTGACTACCCGGGTTTCGAACCCACCATTGAATGCAGCGATCAGCTGTTTGAGCGTCTCCAGTGAGATGCCACTGTAGCCTTTTGCCAAGACGTTGATCCTGAGGGCCAGGAGCATCTTGGTCCTCTCCGGGGGTAGGGCTGACCCCACGCCTAGAATAGACACACATGTATTAGACATGGTAGAAATGGCAGGTACTGTGTTTAGAGAGCAAGCCACTGAGTCTGATAGGGATTGATATCAAGTTTTATTTTCCTTGGCAGCAAAGACTGAACTAATGGTGCAAAATATGGCATGCTCGTGCTAGTGTTGGATTGTCGTAACAATATTTTTTTAAAGTAAATTTTAACTATGTTTTAGTCCTTTGGTGTAATTTTGTTTCTTTCTTTCTTTATATATTTGTTTTTTTTTATTTGTTAAGATTGTACACTTGTTTCACCAATATTTGCGTTTTTTTTGGCATTCTTATTAACATCTTTTTCTGGCATGTTTACCCAAGCCACTCTATGAAGTACTTACGAATGTGTTATTCTTTCCTCTTTTTAGCTAAATACTTACACCGTTACATTTGGTAACTCAAGCCAAAACAAGCTTTATAAATATAAATTCACGTGTTTTGAGTAAGCTACTTTTGTTCTCAACACATAATCAGAAGTTTCGACTAACCTTTTTTATCTACTTAGGGGGTCATCAATATATGACGTCGTGTTATTTTTTTTTTGTCTACCCCAACTCTATCGTCGTGTACTGCACCCACTTCTTAAAATACATCTCAAAGTTCCATCCCATTATCTTAACTTAAATAAGTTTTTCATTCATTCCTTTCCGGTACACGTCATCACAAAAAAAAAAAAAAAACAGAACTCCCTTCTCCACACTCAAAGTAAATGATGTCGTTTCTTTTTTTCTTTCCCAAATGCACCCGTCCACAATTTAAAAGAATGCGCATATTCGCCCCAAAGTTCAGACAGTTACAACTTTAAAAAGTTAAACACTCAGATAAGAAAATCTTTTCTAACACTGATCGTATAGATAGTGCTAAAAAACTGCGTGTTAAATAGATCAGATAAAGAAACTTGAGGTAAACAAAACTCAAATACCTGCAGAATGAGATCTAATCAAGTTCTCTTGTAGTTCTCTGAAATTAGAACAATAAAAATATCAAGTTCTTTTATAGTTCTTTGCTGCCGTACCCTAGACTGGCCTAGACTCAAGAAAGCGAAAAACTAGGTTCATGATAAAGTTTTTCTTTTTTAATCGGGCAGATAATGAATACAAGGATGTACAAAACAATTATTGAAAGCTAATTTTAACACGATAAAACCTAGTTATAAACAAAACAAACATGCGCCAATGATAAAAGCCGACAAACACGACAAAACCTATTGCAAACAAAATAAACACATAACCCCTAAAGTATTTACAGTATAAAGTGGGGAAAACTGATACTCCCCTGAAGTTCTCACATTATAAACAAAACAAACAGAGACGCCCCTGAAGTTCTCACATTATAAACAAAACAAACGGAGACGCCCCTGAACTAGTCACATTGTAAACAAAACAAACGGAGACGCCCCTGAAGTTCTCACATTATAAACAAAACAAACGGAGACGCCCCTGAACTAGTCACATTGTAAACAAAACAAACGGAGACGCCCCTGAAGTTCTCACATTATAAACAAAACAAACGGAGACGCCCCTGAAGTTCTCACATTATAAACAAAACAAACGGAGACGCCCCTGAACTGGTCACATTATAAACAAACAAACAGAGACGCCCCTGAAGTTCTCACATTATAAACAAAACAAACGGAGACGCCCCTGAAGTTCTCACATTATAAACAAAACAAACGGAGACGCCCCTGAACTAGTTACATTGTAAACAAAACAAACAGAGACGCCCCTGATGTACTCACATTGTAAACAAAACAAATACAGATACGCCCCTGATGTACTCACATAGTAAACAAATACAGATACGCCCCTGATGTACTCACATAGTAAACAAATACAGATACGCCCCTGTTGTACTCACATAGTAAACAAATACAGATACGCCCCTGATGTACTCACATAGTAAACAAATACAGATACGCCCCTGATGTACTCACATAGTAAACAAATACAGATACGCCCCTGATGTACTCACATAGTAAACAAATACAGATACGCCCCTGATGTACTCACATAGTAAACAAATACAGATACGCCCCTGTTGTACTCACATAGTAAACAAATACAGATACGCCCCTGATGTACTCACATAGTAAACAAATACAGATACGCCCCTGATGTACTCACATAGTAAACAAATACAGATACGCCCCTGATGTACTCACATAGTAAACAAATACAGACACACCCCTGATGTACTTACATAGTAAACAAATACAGACACGCCCCTGATGTACTTACACTAGCTTGTCCTTGTCAATGGTAGTCCTGGCGAACTTGCCGAATCCCGTGGTGATGCCGTACACCACTAAAGGGAAGTAGTTGTTTTTTAGTTAGTTTACATTTAGGGATTACATTGTATCTGTTATAAAATATCACACTAATCCTCACCCCGCATACTCCTACCACCATCCCACACACTCACACACACAGACTTGTGGTTATGGAGGGACGGTGTGGCCTAGTGGTAGAGTGCTAGACTGCTAGACTGCTAACCCGAAAGTCTCGAGTTCGATTCCGGGTTCAAGTACATAAAACGTCTTACTCAGGAAGGGAAAGTATAGTCAGCTTGGCGTAGTTCTGACCTCACTATCCCTTCATATGCCGAGGTCACAAAAACAGGGGAACACTACTTCACATGCCCCATTGACCGTCGGGCGCCGAGCTTAGGGGGCGCCAAAATGGGTTGGAAAAATAAATTGAAAGGTTGAGGGGGGTGCAAATCGAAAAGTTTGTCCCCGGGCGCCGGGAAGGGTCGCTACGCCTCTGGCTTCAATTATCACTTTTATTGTCACGAAATATATCTAAGTTTGATTAAAACTTTTCTATTGGGGCTAACTCGGTAAAAAATTATATTGTCACAAATATAAAACTAATTTCACATAGTGACGTCATAAATCTAAAAGCTGAACTGATAAAGTAAAGCGAATCAACCGAATCCCCCGGAAACGAAACAAATCTTTGTGTCACCTTTGTTACTGTTATCTCCCAAAAAACGAACAAATCTTTGTCTCACCTTTGTTATCTCCCAAAAAACGAACAAATCTTTGTGTCACCTTTGTTACTGTTATCTCCCAAAAAACGAACAAATCTTTGTGTCACCTTTGTTACTGTTATCTCCCAAAAACTAACAAATCTTTGTCTCACCTTTGTTACTGTTATCTCCCAAAAACTAACAAATCTTTGTGTCACCTTTGTTACTGTTATCTCCCAAAAACTAACAAATCTTTGTGTCACCTTTGTTACTGTTATCTCCCAAAAACTAACAAATCTTTGTGTCACCTTTGTTACTGTTATCTCCCAAAAACTAACAAATCTTTGTGTCACCTTTGTTACCGTTACTGCTAAAAACTAACAAATCTTTGTCTCACATTTGTTACTGTTATCTCCCAAAAACTTACAAATCTTTGTGTCACCTTTGTTACCGTTACTGCTAAAAACTAACAAATCTTTGTCTCACATTTGTTACTGTTATCTCCCAAAAACTAACAAATCTTTGTGTCACCTTTGTTGCTGTTGAGGATGTCGTCAACGAGAGCACGTGACTTTAAGACTTTCTGCTCAGCTTCAGCCGTTAGCTAGAAGAAAAACATAAAGCAAAAGATAAATTCAGAAATCAACGAATTCAACGCACATTCGTGAATGTGTTCGCTCGCCTCACAAAATGGGCGTCAACTCTAGTTTCAGGTGTATCGCGCGTTCTCAAGTAAGCTTGAAAAAAATTATTTTAAAAAAAAAAAAAAAGCAGAAATTAACTAATGCAACGCTTTTCCGTGTTCAGTGTTTCTTCCAGACTTTTTTCTCCGGGGGGGCACTTGAAATTTTCGGGGGGGCGGTAGACTTTCTTCGGGGGGGGGGGGGGGCGGACACTGTGAAAAGTCTATATTTTCTATATAAATTATATAAATTTGATTTCGTTCGGGTGGGCGGTAAAAATTTTTCGGGCGGGGGGGGGGGGGGGGGTTGCCCACCCCCGAAGAGATGCCTGTCCGTGTTGCTCATCTCACAACATTACTGCCAACTCCAGCTTCATAAGATTCCGACGTGCCTAAGTAAACATAAGAACAGTTCTGAACTCGGTGAGACGCAAATATCTAAAATGGCATGTATAGTACACAAATATACTGATATTAGTGATTATAATTATAAAATTCAATATTATATAATGAATAACATTATTGTTTAATAGGTTAGGATGTTTAAAATTGCTAGAACTGTTTTACATAACGCATATTAAAGTTTGTTAGTTACTCCCCTTTCAAAAATTCAAAATTTACCAAGGGATACAACCTACAGTTTTGTTCATTAAAGTAGTTGAAATGAAAATACAGATTAAATCAACATTATTTTTTAAATGTAAATAACAGTTTATTGTTTGAACAAAATTATCTAATTACTTTATGTCTAGATTTTAAATAATATCGCTATTCTATTTATCAGTGGTTTAAAAATACTTTGTCGACACTGTTGGCGATATCATTATTAAATTTCTATTTTATTGGACACCTATAATTCAATACGATACAGGCGTCTGGCTAGTTTCATTATTATTTAGTTAGCAAAATATTGTAAAACTATTGAAGGAATGGTGTGGTCAGCACAATGCCCAGCCACCCTTACCTTCCCCTACATGTCATGCGCCAATCAGAGCTGATTGACTCGAAAACGTTCACGTGCTTCATATTCTTATTTTTTTTTATACTTTATGAATGTTTTAAGTCAAAACTACTAAAATATAATGATAAAAATATACGAATACTTGAATTGAAAATTGATTCAAAATGTAATGTATTAATCGACATATTTCCAATCCATGATTTAACTTTTAAATTAAACGTTTTGTATTAAGCAACTATTGTTAAATGAATAAAATATATAAAAAATACAAAAAATAAATATTTAAAAAATATAAAGGATAACTGTCTATAGCTTGAAAAGTGCACAAATAAGCAGCCACTTGCATGTCCGCATCTCATCTGCACAACGCAAATGACAAAGTGTGTTCTTAGCCCTAACAATAGGGCTGGTAAGTAGGTCACCAACCAGTTCTACGGCTCAATAAACCTGCATGAGCCATATAACAGGTTGGTGACCTACTTACCAGTCCTATTTGATTCTTCTTTATCGTTCAATTTTTTTTCATTAGCATATCTTTCAAGTGCTACCAAATTCAGAACTTACATAATAAGACGGTAGTTTGTTATGCAGGCGCCAAGATTATTTTCATAATTTTAAAAGGAGTATGCAGTGAGTAACTGTTTGTAAAACCGCTGATTTATTTGGGACAAATGCCTGCAGTATGCAATGTTCTACTTACTCGTTATGTGCGAATATTTTTGACCGTGAAGTCTAAAGTTAATTAGAGTACAGCGATGGCCCGAGGTATACAGACGCGCAGGCTGGGGTAATTCTTCTTCTTCTTCGTTCTTAATTTTTAGTGTTGGAAGGGATCGAGCCTTATCTGCCAGAGGGTTTGAACTCGAGACGTTTTCGAATTTATCAACCTTGAGCTTTTGCCTACTCGACCACGCCTCCATCACAAATAAGGATACGTGTCAACTGGTTATGCGACATTGAGGCCATTGACTCCGATTTCAGCCTGCTTATCTTTTTTGATTTGCTTCCATAGCCTTTGTACAACCAAGAACAAACTACAAGACAGCAGTTGTTTGATTTTAAAGTTGTCTCTCCTAGAAGAGTGGCTGTCCCCAGCTAACGAGCCTTATCTGCCCGAGAGTTCGAACAATTAATAACTGTGTTAAGCTAAAACTGTACTCACCTTGATGTTGTAGATTCCCTTCCCAAGTCGGATGAGGTCGTCGGTAGAGAGGCTGTCACCGTCCAAGGCGATGTACTGCAATTATGGAGAATGCAAAGTTGTGAGTGATATAGTGGAATTATCTTGAATTCAAATTCGTGAACGATGTAGTGGGATTAACAGGAATTCAAGTTTGTGGATGATATACTAGAATTATCGGGAATTCAAATTTGTGAATGATATACTGGAATTTCGGGTATTTAAATTTGTTAGTGATATACTGGAATTATCGGGAATTCAAATTTGTTAGTGATATACTGGAATTATCGGGAATTCAAAGTTTGGAGATTATAGGAAAGTAAAAAGGCTGTGGGCAGTTGAAGACTGAATAACCACGAATTCAGGCTCAAGATCCATCTAGCCTGAATTCCAAGTTTTAGACAATACATCTTTCTAGATAAGAAAGTCCCGTGGAATTTAAATACGAACGTTAAATTTAGTTTCTCACATGGCTCGTCGAAAGGAGCTCAAAAAGTTCAATACAAAGTTAATTTATCGTCAGTCTCTGGTTTTTTTATTTATCCTATTATAACCACGATCATATTTTTTTAACGTTTACATTTTCTTTTTATAACCTCACCAACCACTACCCAGCCGTATTAACTAATGGGTAAATTGTGGTGTGTGGTTTTATTATATATCGTAATGTAGGCCTACAATGGTTGGTGTAGATCAAAGTAATCAATGCAAATATTGTAGTAGATAATTGTATGTGAACATCAATTTTATCAACACACAAGTTGTAGCAGACGGGATGTATATCAACCTTATCATACTATCAACGTACAATCAGTCGTAGTAAGCAATGGCTGGTATCAACGTAATCAACACACATCGTAATAGACTATAGGAGGTGAAGAGTAATCTTATCAACACACGAGTCATTAGACTAGGTGTAGATCAACCTTATCAACATACAAGTCGAAGTGGACAATGGATTGTCAACTTACCTCCTTCTCGACCCCCCGGTCAACATCTTCGCTGGGTCTATCGTGGTGTCAGGAAAAGATAAGCAGACACGTCGACAATAATATATAATGTGGTCACACGGTGTTCCATAATTTATACAGGTGAATATTATGTAAACAGTGGTAAGACGGCTGTGCATAGTTTAAACGACTATCTTTGATGAACAACCTTTTTAAATATTAACTCAATCTATAAAAAAAAATTGAGATATTAATAGATTATTACGTATTTGATTGATTACAATATTTGTTGCTTGGGAGTTGTGGATAGGGAGCAGGGGGGAAGAGGGAATACAACTAAGATGTAGTTTTGGGTGTATGCTAACTTTTTGTGACGAAGCATGACTATGCATTTAATAGGGTAAGCGATTTTAACAAATGCCGTAAATTAATTACACTGTAGATCTTACAATCCCACAAAACACAATCAGAAGAATGGGATTTTAAATTTCAATCGACTACTTAAGCAAAGGATACACTTTTTCCTCGACGTAGACAATCTCTGCAGGCAAGGACATTGGGCTGGAAATGTCGCTTTCCAGAACTGTGGACACATTTTAATGTTTGGTAATAGTGTATAAAAAACAAAGAGCTGCTTGACAAAAAAAAAAAAACTAGGGTATTACACTAACAGGTGATAAGGCGTATTCTGAATTTGTATCAATAACGTATTTAAATAGCAGTCAAGAAAAATTGTACAACGTTTAATTCAGAGAGAAGACAGAGATGTGTTTAGACATAATAATGCCCTAAGTTATTCTCAAAATGGGGCCCTTTATAAGACAATATATTATATGTAATGGAACGGCGTGGTGGAGCGCTAGGCTGCTGACCCGTAAATCTCGAGTTCGAATCCGGGTCTAAGTCAGTAGAACGTCCCATGGTCCATACAGCTCTGATGGGTACCTAACTCTTGTTAGGGAAAGTAAAGGCGGCTGGGTATAGCGCTGACCACACTAGCCCTTCATATGCCGAGGTCTCGTAACATATGAACTCTACTTCATCTGCCCAATGGATCGCAGGTCTAGAGAGAATATGTTACTTTTTTTATATTATGTCAGTGACCTATATACCAACAAAAAGAGAAATCAGCCTCCACTACCGTTTAAAAAAGAAATAGAAAATTTTAAAAAGAAATTGGGAACAATTAGCCTACGGCAGATTAAAAATGTACTGTTGAGGGTCTCCAAATTAGCGGGATCCCTAAGCTATAGCTTATTTAACTTAAACGTAAATCCGACACCGGTTAAATATGTCTATGCCCACCATAAAATTTCGCAAATCTCTTTGCAACAGAAACCTACTATCCCAGGGGTCGGCAACCTGCGGCTCGCGAGCCGCATGCGGCTCTTTTGATGTCAAGATGCGGCTCTCCATCTCCTTGCACAAATACTACTAATCTTAATAAAAAAAAATATAATACTTGAAAAACAAATTATTGTGGCTCTTTAAAACCAGGGAAATTTTGAAAATTGTAACTTTTGGCTCTTCCGCTTCTATAGGTTGCCGACCCCTGTACTATCCAACTACATAAAAACAACGGAGTCTCTCATTATGTTGTCCAAGATACGATAAATACAGCTATTTGAAATGTTTCGAAATAAATGTTTTGATTAGTTCATGTCACTGTTTACAAAAAAGTCGATATGTAAAATTGTTTGGTACGTATAAAAATTATTTTTAAAATATGGTGTAGGCATATAGATGTGTATCATTTAGTACCTACCATCTATTTTAAAGTATATAAAATTATATATATTTAAATATTGTGCAGTGCTCAACATGTATATTCACTTTGTATGTACAAAATTTTGATACGTATAACGCTGTGCTAAACCATCTGGTATTTCATTCTTTAGATATTTGTATCCAACCTACGCCACGACCAGCAGACATTCAGGTTTGTGTCACGTCAACCTAACAAAGTTTCACTCACCCACAGTGATGAAATCATTATCATCGATGACATCTTTGATCGAATCATCGAAATCCAACAGCGCCCCACCCTTGGCCTTCCTGACCTCGTATACCTTCTCTGCGCTGGGTCCGGGGCTACCCCTCTGCTTGTAGAACCTTCTCAACGTCTCCTCCCCCAGCCACCGGATTGTATCCGTGCCCTTGCAGGGTACGGCAAACCAGTCCCCACGGACTCGGATGCTCAGCTTCATGGTGTAGAGTTCAGCTGGTTTGAATTCGTGCTTGTTTACACTTTTAAAATTAAGTTTATCAACGTGAACTAGTAGTCAATTGTATTTAATAAATCAAAACATGTCAACTCAAATTGACGGGGAACAATTTTTTTTATATTCTTAAAATATAATTAGATTTTTTTTCACCTCTTAAAGCTAGCTTGAATTACTTTTAACTATTTCTAGCTAAAACATATAAAAATGATCCGATATAAATTGAATGAAAACCGTGCATCACAATGGAAATGTACAGAAATGTATGGGAAAAAATCTCAAAGTTCAGTAACGAAGTTTCAATGAACGTTGTATTGAGGTGAAGATTAGGTCTATCAACACCATTTGGTCAGTTCCCTAGGTGGTATCTCAAAATAGACAAATAGAAACTGACCAATCAGAGGGGCTGGAAAGGACACACCTGTCACTGCCCAACTTTTAATCTGTGTGTGTTTTGATACGTCAGACGTTAAAGGTCATGGTCGCCAGCGTCGTAGGCTGATGGGGGTTCAATGACCTTTACACTTTGATTGGCATCAAGATAACGTAATTAGCATCAAGAAAATGCAATTAGCATCAAGAAAATGAAATTAAATTAACATAATTTTATTAAAATTGAAAGTCGCTCTTGTGCATTATTTGATAATTTATTTTAGTAACAAACCTGATTTTTTAACAAAGTCAAAAAATTGGGGAAATGAGAGTGACCTCCCTTGTAATAATCCCCGCAGGCGCCCACGGTTATCTTTGCTTGTTTTTCTGATCTACCAAACTGAAATTTGACCTTCCAAACTGACCAATGCGTTCATTGTCTATGAAGCCAATGTTATGAACTGTCAACAGCACATGTGTTTAAATAAAGATAATGGGCACACGAAGGGCGTTGAAGAATTATCAATGACCTTTCATCATCAACATCATTGATGTTGACCGAGGATGATAATGATGTGGGTAATGAATTTCCGTTGGTTTAATTAGTTTTATGAGTGAGTAAAGTCGTGAGAAATTATAATAACAAACCCAGCTGTTATGCATGGGATCGCTTTAAGTGAATTGTTACAACCTTAGGTACATTTTAAACCACGCCCTCCAATTGTCACAACACCCCTAACAAAAAGAAGTTCAAACACCTTTTACTTCTGTAATTATAGATTTGAAAAATATATACACGAATTCAAAATTCAGTTTTGGTGAGAAATACAAAATGTACCTTTTACCACTGTTGTGATGTGAGGTGAGGACAGGACCCCCCAAATTTTCCTATCCCCACCTTTTATAGGGCTGGTAAGTAGGTCACCAACCAGTTCTACGGCTCAATAAAAGCCGCATAAGCCATAGAACTGGTTGGTGACCTACTTACCAGCCATATACCCTACCTAACCTCTAAGTTTCTTGCGCTATATGTCATTTCCCTCCCAATCGTTCCTATGCTACATAATTGTGTGTTCTATTTATTTAAATTCTTTAATCTCATTATAACTAAAATAGACTATAGCTTGAAGGTTAATGAAAACATGTAAACAAAACGGACACTGCTCTAAATCTACGCGAATACTTATAAGTAACAATCCTAACATACCCCCAGAGGCGTAGCGACACTTCCCGACGCCCAGGGACAAACTTTCGATTTGCACCCCCCTCAAACTTTCAATTTGTTTTTCCAAACCATTTTGGCACCCCCTAAGGTCGGCTCCCGGGTATATGTGTCCCCCCCCCCCGCCCCGCCCCCTCGCTACGCCTCTGATACCCCCTCCCCATAAAGGCTAATAATATATCCCCGATACGTTATTAGCTAGGACACAATAGACACAACAAAACTAGACAAATCTTGTGTTCCTTCTTGAGCCATTATGGCTGCTTGTAAAAACTTGAAACAGCCAGAAGCTAATAGGAATAAACAAACATACCAAGCTAACAATATTAAGTCACTAAGTCACATTTCAAATGCATACTATCTTAATTAAATGTATCTTTTCCTTCAAACACATGTTATGCAAACATACATGAAAACATCTAATTATTTCACATATATAATGAAATATTCATCAAACATAATTAACACAATAATTAATGCAATGAAAACATGTTATCTTATCTAATTAATTCAAACAATATGCATCCAATATCATCATCTTGAAATTATCATATATTCACATAATAAAGTATTAATACCTATAAATAACCCTCTCCCAACCCCTAATATCATCAATTTCGAGACAAAGCATCTGGAATTATATTTTGGGCACCAAGAATATGCACAATATCAAATTTGTAATCTTGTAGGCAGAGGCGTATCAAGGGGGGGGGGCGGACAGCACCGGGTGACACTAATTACGGTGGTGACATCGAGGCCAAAAATAGAAATATATATGTACAGAAAATTGATAATTTCACGTAATTAAATGATTAATTAGAGTGAATTAAATAGTCTTTTAAGGGGTTGGGAGGGGGGGGGGGGTGGCACCATGACGTAAACTTGCTAATGATAGAGAAAACATGCTACATCATGCTGAATTTATAACCGAATATAGATACAAATCGTTTGTATTATCTGAGCACAGTTTAAAGCAATCCCCGTGGGGGTGACGGGGGGGGGGGGGGAGTTACATTAACTCAACGTTGCAAAATATGCCTGAGGAAAACGGTTTGGTTGAGAATCGCGTGGTGGGGGGGGGGGGGGGGTGGAGAATTAAATACAACTAGAAGAGAAAAAAATTGAATACATATACACTTGTGTATACACATTCTTACTAGTCAATATGGAATATATATATATATATATATATATATATATATATATATATATATATATATATATATATATATATATATATATATATATATATATATATATATATATATATATATATATATATTGCTACATATTGATCTATATTGATATTGATATGAGTGTTAAAATGCCACGGGTAAATTTGCTTTGTGAGTTTCTGTATATATTACAATGGTGTAAGAAAAATGTTTGTTTGAAAATTAAAAAAAAATATAGTGGACGCTTGATTTAATATTTCTTTCACTATTCTCATGCCAATGCTTCTGTTCTTGATTTAAATTGAAAAAAAAATAATGATGTTGAGTCTACGGCTGAGATAAGACTAATTAATTAATTCCGTTTCAACGGTCATGTCATGGTCTCATTTTAGGTCGGCTGTGTAAACTTGGGTTCAATAGTCTACGAGTTTCATTTTTTCCTCTGTTGGAAGTGGGTAGTTGTCTACAGAACATTGTAACTCATACATTTTATTTAACCTCTCCGTGTGTTTTAGTAGTTTTTGCGGTGGAAGTTAAAGACTGACGAGCGTGCCAATTGCTGTTGTTATATAGATAGGTGGGAGACTCACGTAGGCTGTATATTTTTTTTTAGTTGTAGAGAATGGAAGTGGGGGGGGGGGGGGGAGTGGGGGAGTGTTTATTCGTCGATGATGTCACAACTGGAAAAATGTGTGTGTGTGCGTGTGGGGGGGGGGGGGGGTGAAGGACCTTCGTGACGATGTGTGACATAGAGGGTAGATTAAGAAGGCGTCGCTATAGCATTTAAAAATGACATTTTAAGAAAAGCGAACTGTAGCAGCCATAGACAACCTGGTATTCCGTTGGAAAATGTTCTGTCTACTACACCAATCCACCAAATACTCACCCCTCCCCTTACCAATATCTCTTCATATGCCGAGGTCACAGAAACAAGTGAACTCTACTTCACTTGCCCCATAGACCGTCAGGTTTGAAAAGGGAACTTTACTTTTTTTTAACACCTTACCAACAACACCCCCATCTGATATTACACTGATGCCAGTCAAAATATGTTATCCATAAAAAAATTTACTTATTAAGATTGTATCCATTTTTAGATTAAAATCAAAACAAATGTATTTTGGGCGTTGATAAACTGAAATGTTACAATCTTGCTTGCTAGATTTGGGTCCACATAGCACCAAACGGAACCTATCACAAATAAGATATAATGAAAGCTGCTGGGGAAAAAAACAAAAAAAACAAAAACTATTTGCACTATCTCTTTGTATACCCTCAGGTCAAAAAGGATAACTTTAATTGTTTACTTCTTACTATAAATGGGCTGTGAAACTTCTTCTGTCAAAACCATGCCTAGTTATATGCTAAAAAAAAAAAATTAAAAGTATTCGCTTAAAGATTAATTTAATCCTTTTATTTTCTGATGTGAATAAATTGTCTTTTTATAGTAATTGGAAAGTGGTCTGTCTGTTGCTTTTAGTTTTAGTGATTTAGATAGTAGTTAATTATTGTATATTTAAAGAAAATCATTTATTTTCTCTTTTTCAGTGCATTATTTGTATTGAAACGTTTTTATGCACTTTTTTTTTTACATTTCTTTTTTGTTTAAACATTTCTCTTATCTTGTCCCAGCTTTTAACGAAAGTTCCTCTCTACGATAAGAAGATAAGAGCATTGTTTTCAAAACAGAACTGCCCGATTAATGATGTGTTATCGCGACGATTTCTTTTTAGATTTATTTAAAGTGCAGCTACACATGTGTTGGTGTTAACAACCGGGTCACAACTCACAACACATAGTGTGTGGTGTTTCTAGTAACAACACTACGCGATGTGTGAAAAATTGTGTCTTTGATCAAGAATGAGTCGATAGAAATGTGTTGCTTCCCAGTAGCCCAGATAGCTAGAATGCTATAGTGGTGCTATCAGTGTTTCTTCCAGACTTTTTTCTCCGGGGGGGCACTTGAAATTTTCGGGGGGGGGGGGGGCGGTAAACTTTCTTCGGGGGGGGCGGACACTGTTAAAAGTATATATTTTCTATATAAATTATATAAATTCCATTTCGTTCGGGGGGGGGGGGGTGGCGGTAAAAAATTTTCGGGGGGGGGGGGGGGGGGCTTCGCCCCCCCGAAGAGATGCTTGGAAGAAACTCTGGGTGCTATAGTCAGTGGCCTAGCTACCGTAAAGCTAGCGTAAGCTATGCATAGGGGCCCAAGGTACATAGAAGCCCTTTTCCCTCTTTAAAAAATTAATTTTTTTCATTGGAAATTTAATATTTGTTTTTTGTAGATAATATTAAAAAGAAAATGGAAATTACACATTCTTTTCTATTCTAGAAATAATAAAAAGTTCCGAAAAGGCCCCTAGTCCTTTCTTGCTGTACAGACAGTGGCATTCAGTATGAGTAGGGGGGTGAATAGGGTCCATCCGTAATAATAACACTACAGGCGTTGTCGCATTATCAGGCGAGAATTCGAGAGAATCAGCCTATAAATTAACCGACTTTTTTTGTGAGATTGTACATGTATCGCTACAAACCTCAACTGACTGGGAAATTACTTAAACCTCTCTAACAGTCTGCGTTAC